GCATTCCTCACACCATTTGTACAAAGCCGCCTGGTTAAAGGGAAAAAAAGCATGAAATATGTTGAAACATGAATCACAAGCCAGCTTCTGCAACTCCCAATTTTTTCACAATCAACCTGTGAAAAAAATGTGCAGATTGAAGAAGGGAAAATCTTGTGTGCTGATTAAAAGAAAAGAGACAATCACCCTCATTCACGGGCATGCAGCTGCCTCATTGTCAGACGGCAGAGTGGGAGATTTTTGTAGAGGTGCTGAAAAGACGCCTCAGTGAAAAGGACCTGCGTTTGTTTTTCAGATGCCTTAATGACTATATGTGATTAACACAAATTATCTCACTTATCGCAGCTCAACAGGCTTTCATAGACAATCTCTGGGTGCATTCTCCACAGTGCTGCTTAACATGCATTTAATCAGACTCAGCAATGACCGGATCGCTCATTCTCAGTTTTAGATTATCATTTAAAAGAATACAGAATTATGGAGTCGCAGAATGTACACCTTAAAACATCAGAGAACATCTGTTCATGTGACCCACACAGCTAAAAATAGGTCCAACATAGACTGTAAAAAGAGACTGGACATTACCGTTTCCCATATTTTCCACTTTGTTGTTGATTCTTTTTTTAAATAGCTTGTAATTGTTCTGACTAATGAGACTGATGGTCCTCCAGTTTAAACCAGGAAAAAGAGAAAAAGGTTTAAAAAGCAGTGTACTTCCTGGAAAAATGTAATTTTTAGTGTGTTTTAGTAAAACTGAATGCTGAAACAAACAGCACCCAGCTGTCACACAAAGACGCTGTTATATAATTTGCACAGTCTTAGGTTTTGTTCTTCCATCTGGCAGACACAAGGTTGCAATCAAATACATTACAAAAGGATAAATGCTATTTAACACGCCACAGTTAAATCCTCCTTTCGCGTAGCTTGATTTGACTCGGCATGGCCCTTAACATCAGCATTTTATATTAAAGAATCTCAAAATGCAGCAGCACAACTCTTGTCAGTCAAATAAATTAATAAATAAACAGAGAATATTCATACTTGTCATACTAACAAACCACCCTGCTCGATCACAGACTTGTCTCATCTTTTTACTCTTGACAATCATATCATTACAGCAGTCATTATAACATTAAGATTATTGTAGCAGTGAAATATGCAATGATCTTTTTCATTTAGCTAGATGTATCGCTTTTCCATTGAAGGTGGCAAAGCTCACCATTGTCCGTCACTCGTGTGTTTTTAACAGTTTCTATACAACCCTGCAGTTCTTCAGCACAGAGGAGTGAGATGCACACACTTGTTGGTAGGGCACATTCATTTGTATCCTGGACTTTTCATTCAATTTGTTGGCAATAATATGAAAATATATAATATAAAATAATGTATTAGCACCACTGAGAGTCTGTTCTTTAGCCTGGACCACAGAGAATTTCCAAACATGCCATTATATGAGGTCCCAATTCCAAATCCTTTCCAATCAACATCTGTTAGTGAGTTTATAGATTTTGTTTTTAATCATCCAATCACACTGAACCTGCAGAGCCATCTGTGAGGTGAGCCAACCAGCTTACGTTTAAGCTGCTGCTGTCTCTCTGGACCAACCGCAATGTGACCCTGTGACCTCTGCAGGCACAGAGAGGTCAACAAGTCACAGACGACAGTCCGGAACTCACTGTGGGGGCCTTTTTTACCCTGATGAGGGTTGCATGGTTATAGAGTGCTTGTTGGTCTTCAGAGAAATGTAAAACTGCCCTAGAGAAAACAGAGGATGGAGATGAAAAAAATATGTTTTGTTCTGCAGCTGAAAGAAAAAGAAAACAGACGAACGCGCTCGGACAGGAGGTCAGTGAGTGCAAAATCTCTGTCAAACATGGGAAAATTTTTATCTGCTGAATGACTATGAAACTACATTAGATTAACTTCAAATGCTGTAATCTAATGTGGGGGTGAAGCACCATTTCTTTCCCTCTCTTCATATGTACTGGGGCATTATTGTGGAACGCTGGGACACATAAAGTGTCTATTGTGTTGTATATGGTATATATTGTAGTATATATATATTATACCATGATGTAAACATTTGCACATTTTAACAAACAGGAGAGTTATGGTTCGAGCCAGCCTCAAGTGGACATTAGAGGAACTGATGTAGAGGACATAAGCCATAAATTACTCAGAGTGTAGCCCTGATAAATGGGGTTGCGCGAGGAACGGCATCCAAAATAAAATCTTTGCCAAATCAAGCATGTGGATCATAAAGATTGAGATTTTCATACCGTATCGGTTGGGGCCCACATTAGCAATGACCACCTTCAGTGCTGCTGACCAAAAGTCAGAAGAGTGGAGGTGAGAGCAGTGGCTTTAAATGTTGGGACTATGATGGGTTAAGGGAGAGAGCTGGCTGATATGGTGAAGAGAAGGAAGGTTTTTGTTGTGTGTGTGAGACACAAGAACAGAATGATCACAGCAAGAGTGAACAGGAAGATTTTCAAGATTTCAGTGAGAGCTGCTAGCATGTATGGTTTAAAGATGGTGGCACTGACACAAAGACATAAAGCGGAGCCGGAGGTGGTGGGGCTGAAGATGTTAAGGTGTTCCCTGGGAGTGACCAGGATGGACAAGATCAGAAATCGATACATATCAGAGGGACAGCTCAGATTGGGAGCATTAGAGACAAAATTAAGGTTGCGTTGCAGAAGCAAGATAAAGGACATTTTGGTCAAAAGTAGAATATGATGGAAGGCAACAGGGAGAATTCATGCATGTGGTGAAGGGGGCATGCAGAGGTGCAGGTGTGTGACCCTTAAAGGGAGCAGCTGAAAAAATAGTGCTTATAATGCTTAAGAGAAGATTTGACTTTAAACATATCTATCTATCTATCTATCTATCTATCTATCTATCTATCTATCTATCGATCGATCGTAGATAGATAGATAATAGATGATAGATCTATATCTATCGATCTATCGATCAATATAGATTAGGGCTGAACAATATATCGCATTTGCGATAATATCGCGACATGATCAAGTGCAATTTTCTAACCGCAAAGGCTGCGATTATACTCTGGACATGTCCAAATTCATGGGCTGCATCCTCCTGAGGCCGCATTTGTAGACCGATTACGTCACAGCGATGCGCCGAAGGCTGTCCAAATTACTACCATATCCCAGAATTCATAGCGCGGCCCAGCAAAACTCCAGTTTCCAACAATGGCGGCCGCTACTAAGTTTTAAAATTACTCATACTAATCTTTCTGGGTCACAAAATAAACTTTTAACATATTTTCAGGCGAGAATGTAGTTGTGTAAACATCAAATATCTGCTCGGTTTATCAAGATATCCCATATTTGCAAAAGTGCTTCGACGTTTTCAGAGGCGTCTGCTACCCACCAGCTCGACAGCTAGCCGGGAGCTCGAGGGTTACTGATGCGGCCGAGAACGGCACAACTCCCGGCACATCATTTTCAGATCACCGCGGAGTTTCGCTGCTCGGGTTAAACGTAATATATAAGTCACTTAGACAACCTAAAAATGTTATTGTTGGGCTTTTTTCAGTGTTTTGTTTGTTCGTGAGTAAATCGGTTTGGCTGAGATTAAAGTTATTAGATTAGATAAAATAAAACTTTATTAATCCCCCGGGTGGGTTCCTCCTTGGTTTTCACACAGCTGACTAAACGTCAAACAGAAAACTTATTAAACAGAAGTATGAGACAGTCGAGAATTTACACCAGTGTCTGGTTATATTTTAGATAGCAAGAAGCAGACGGCCGAGTTTATTAAACTCCACCGAGACAGCGGTGACGCTAATCAGAACTAGACCGTCCAATTCCACGCCTTTAAATTTTAAAAACGTGTTTGTGTGTGTGTTTATACAATTGCTATTATGTTTGCACTTTATGTGTAATGTTACTGACTGCAGAGATCAGTAAGATGTGTGTATTTTTTATTTATTAGTTTTATTTATTTAATATTATTTTTTAATTGAATGACTGTCTAGTAGTTCACAGATGTTGAAAAACTGAGTGTGGTAAAGCCACTGATTTTGTTTATGTATATTTCTGCAATCTGCACATTGTACTGACTTTCATTTTAATGTTTACACCAGGGTTCCTTGTCAGCACTTTATGCTCAGATGTTTGTAAGCTAAAAATAAACTATTGTGTATGTTCAAATATACTGTTGTGATTGAAGAAGTTAAATAAAAATGTCAGTCATCAATTCATGCATCACCTCATGTCATCATAACAGAGGTCTGTCTTCCAGGAAAGAACAGTTTAAAATTAATGTAATATAGTATTGGCCATACTATATGATGTATTGCTTGTCTTTGTTTAATAATACAGAAGACAAAGACCTTAAAAAATAATCGCATATCGCATCGCAATCGCAATATTGGGGCAAAAAATCGCAATTAGATTATTTTCCATAATCGTTCAGCCCTAATATAGATATAGATATAGATATCTATATATAGATATCTATATATAGATATAGATAGATATATAAGAGCCATTTTGATGCTAGGAGCATGTCACTCCAGTTTGACATTTCAGTAACGAGCCGGATATGCGGATGCTGTTGTTGGTAGGTTGGGTGAAATATGTTTGAGGCAGTATGAATTGTGTTAGCTACTTCATTGAAAGACAATGGAGGACAAGATGTTGTGTGTAGTGTCACCCACGTGCTTCTGCATCACTATTGTCTGCCCTTCTTCAGACAGAGACAGAGGGGCGAAACGAGGGGGATGTGGGTGGGAAGACGAGGAGGTGGTGGTTGACTGCTGTGAGTGTGTATGTGCATGTGTGTGAGTGCGCTTGCAGGGAAAAGCACAGACGGCTCGTGGTAATTTGACGTGTGTCCCTTGGGATGTTTGATGGATTAATGCTAAGCAGCTCCCTCTTCCAAAGCACCACCTGATCTTTGGGGCTCGTGGGCCATGTATAAAAGACTGCAGAGTGCTGAGCTCAGCTAGTCCAGACATCTCTCTCTCTCTCTCTCTTTCTCTGTATGTGTGCCTCTGTCTCACCCTCACCACTTTCTGTCTTCCTCTCCATCCACTCTGTGCTATGCTCTGTCTTTGCTGCTCTTTTCTCTTTCTCTTTTGGCATTGAATAATTTCCAAAAAGATTTTTTTCCAGCATCCTCAGCTGATTGGCCTTTCCAAGAAGGCCACCTGGAAGCGTAGTTTTTCTTATTTTTCCTGTTCAACTGCGTGTTTGTGTTTTATTCTAGGAGGTTTAGATCACTTTTTCATCAGGGGAAAATAAAAATGCCACGCTCCTTTTTGGTGAAACTGCCAAAGATTCACGATTTCTCCTCTTCCAACCACTACTATCATCATCAACATCAGCAGCAGGAGCAGCACTGGGATGACTCTTACACCGTGACACATGCCATCACTGAGTCATCCACCAACTTGGCCGTGCATCTGAGTGAAAACAGTGAGTAAATGTCTCTCTGAGTTGCGTTTTCTACTTTGCTGTGTAGGTTGTAGACTGATTTGTCTGCACAAAGTGTTTCACATGGTTTTCCTCACAAGGAGGAAGAGGCAAAAAATTATTCCTCAAACAAATAATAAACAGGGATTTATACACAAAGGGGCTACGTCGTGCTTCCTATATAATCACTTTTGGAAACCCCCAAAACCCTACAGCCAGTGCTCACCCACCTACTTCAAATGGCTCTGGACTTTTGTTTTCTAACTCGGCAGATGCTAAATAGTATTCAGGTCATGCTGGCTAAATCGGCTTAATACTCAGACCAGATCACACAGTAGCCTTTGGCTTTAATACTATTGTGTACGTGAATGATGAGCCGTGCACGCGCGGAGACACTGATGCAGACATTTCTCAGGTCCAACAAGAAAATAAAGATAAAAACTCAGACGAAAGCAGATAGCCACGTGGGATTGTCGTGTCCTTAGATGGTGCCGTTGCCCTTGACTCTCCTCTTATCACCCCCCCCACCTGCCCATTCATCTCTCCATCTCTCTCCATCTGATCCTGCAGGATGTTGGATAGCCAGAGGGAGTAGGATTGCAGCAACACAATCCATATGTGGAGCAGTGAGAGGTTATGGAACAGGGTTTTTAGAGGATGGGTATTGACTGGAAAATAGAGAGTGCTGCAGGTAATTCAATAAAGTGAAACTTGAGCTGTGCACTGGCAGAGGAGATTTTCATCTGTGGGATTTCTACAGAGGCTGGGTGTGAGAACAATATGTTGTGTGTTTAGATTTAAGAAATAAAAAAGTATTCTTTGAGTGGATTTACCCCCTCCCCCCTTTTCACCCACAACCAACATCACATGTCTTGTGTTAGAGTTGAATAATTTGTCCTCAGATTTAGGATGCCAGCTGTCTGCTTCCCTTTGTGTTCCATTTTGTGTGTGTTTGTGTGTGTTTGTGTGTGTGGCAATATACCACTGACTGCTGCTAAGATCAGAACCCCCACCAACCCCCACCATACCCACAAAACACTCTCCAACCCTCCCTTCCCTCTTTGCCAAATTGCAGACCCCCACCTGTCACTCAGTCTCCCCATTACCATACTCATGAACACTCTCACAAACATCACAGATGGGGAATGATCTGATTAAAACGATTTAGTGATTGAGGGGATTCACTGCATAGATGCTCTGTTTTGATCATCCCTCCCCACCCGTTCCTTCTTCCAAAACACATTTAGACAGATTGCTGCTGCTGCAGCTGCAGCACTCTGACAAGAAGGTCCAGGCTGGCTTGCACTATACGTGCCTGACTCTTGATTCAGAGTCAGCACATTGTGTTTTCATTTATTTAACTTTGTGATTGCTCTCAATGGAGCCACTGAGAATATCGACTGAATCAGAAAGGTGCATCACAGATTCATTAATATTTCAGTCTTAGAGCTTGCTAAAGCTGGCACTTACAAATAGTTTCCTGAATAGATTTCATTTTGAGGTTGGGGTAAGAAGGCACTTTTCTTTTCCATGTAGTAATTCTAGAGTCTATATTAAATATGTATTTTCTTTCCCAGGGTACATCCAGGATTACATCATCCCGTCAGTGTTTAAGCGCACAAAGGAGTCAAGTCATGAGCAGACTGGGCTCACAGCAGGGCCCCTGTACTCCCCAGGGGGCAGCAGCGGGGAAGAGTTCTCTGACCACGACATGGAAGATCCGGACAGCCCCGTTTCTAGCACCACAGTTGAGTCGGACGGCAGTAGCCCTGAAACGGAGGCGTGCACAATCAGTGGCTTTCTCATCTCTGATGGTCGCTCGCGCCGGAGGCCTAAACAGAGATGTTCTCACATGGAAGGGAGCCATTTGGACAGCAGCGAGGGAAGCAGCTCAACAGATTGCAGCCCCGCCAAAGGGGAATCCAAAGGACGTCACGTGTGCAGCGAGTGTGGCAAGTCGTACGCCACATCCTCCAATCTGAGTAGGCACAAGCAGACTCACCGAAGTCTGGACAGCCAGCAGGCCAGGAAATGTCCTACCTGCCACAAAGTTTATGTGTCTATGCCGGCTCTGGCCATGCACATGCTGACCCATGACATGAAGCACGAGTGCAAGGTGTGTGGCAAAGCTTTCAGCCGGCCTTGGCTCCTGCAGGGTCACATGAGGTCTCACACTGGGGAGAAACCGTTTGCCTGCGCTCACTGTGGCAAAGCCTTTGCTGACCGCTCCAATCTGCGTGCCCACATGCAGACGCACTCAGCGTTCAAACACTACTCCTGCAAACGTTGTCGTAAAAGCTTCGCGCTCAAATCCTACCTGAACAAGCATTACGAGTCGGCCTGCTTCAAAGGGCAGTCAACAGAGGGTGACTGCAGCTCTGAGGACTGAAAGGAAAATCCTTTCTTCTTTATATGTTTTTTTTCTAGTTCAAATATCTAAGTCAGACGACGGCTCGCGACTTCTCAGACTTTTCAAATGCATGTATCAAAATCCTGCCTTTTGACATAAGCAATAACCTCACAGTAAATTCTTCAGGAAACATGTAGAAAATTTCATAAAAAATCTCAGTGTTGATTACAAATGCAAAATATTTTATATTCTTTTTATAAATTGCAATAATTTACACATCACTATCATTTGATATATCACCAAGCTCTTAATTTATCTCAGATGGCTTGGTTACTTGCATAATGTATTTGCATATTTATTAACTTATTTAACTATTTATTTGCCAATTTGAAGATTATTTATTTATTATGGGTTAATGTATTTGTCAATTTAACATGTTTAAGAAGCCAGGTGCTGGATTTGATGAGAACAAAAGCCAAAGTATACTCTGATATAGTATATTTGCCTGTCTGATCGATTTGGTGATGACAATAAAAACCAGTGAGTAACTTCCCTTTGCTCATGTCTGTGGGTATATGCAAATACAAAACATGTGTTATGGCGAATGGGATGAGCCGTGTGGAGGAATTAAATCCAAGCGCAGGCACTCATGGAGGTGTGAGGGAGAGTTACTGTAAAAATAAAACACAAGGTGAAAATGTGAAACAGAACTAAAGATAACCTGAACTGGGAAAAACTAAACTACTAAACATGAACATGGGTGAGCGGAGGAACATGAAGTTAGATAGCAGGGAGAACAAACGGATGAAACTGATTGACAGACAGACCAGCAACTAGCATGCGAGCAGACACGACTTAAATACACACAGAAGAACACAGGGAGATTACACACAGGTGGTGAACACAGCTGGAAGTAATTGACAAGATGAGACAGGGGAAGCAAACTGAATACACTCACATGAGACATGGACCTACACAATAAAACAGGAAACAAGAAGCACTTCACAAGGACGCTGACTTCACACTGAACTAAACCTACATTAAACACAAGAACACAACCTGAAAACAAAACCCTAAACCAGAATAAACTGAAACATAGATTATAATATTCAAAACAGGATAACTAAAGAATCAGAACATCGACCATTATACAGATAAATACCAAAATACAAGAAACCGACATGCTGTGTCAAATGACCCAGAACCGTGACAACATGTTCATTTGAACTCTGCAGGTCCAACATTGTGCCATCTAACAGTATACCTGCTTAAATGGCCTCACTTGTGTCAATAACTGTTACATCTACTCAGTTCAAATAGAGTGACAGTCAGGTCATAAAGTGCCAAAGAGTCTGTTGTCATATCAGTTAGTGAAGTAAGTTTACCCACAGGCTGGAGAACCTTGCAGTATGCAAGGTTCCAGGCACAGTACAGCAGTCAGTTCAATTCAATTCAATTTATACAGCACCCAATTTCAACAACAGTTGCCTCTGTGCACTTTATATTGCGTGGTAAAGACCCTACAATAATACAGAGTAAGATAACTCCCTAAGAGCAAGCACTTGGCATGAATGGGGAGGAAAAAACTCCCTTAGAGCCCAAGCCTATTGCTGAGTATTCAGGGTCACCTGATCTAGCCCTAACATAAAGTAAATAAAATAAAATGAAACACAAGCAAACTGGAAACAACTTCACACAGAGAAACAAAATGAAGCATGCTACTAAGAGTCAAACCCTACAAAAAGCTACAGCAAAGAGTATATTCTTTGTCAAAAAGGAAAGCTTTAAGCATAACTTAAGCAGAAGAGGGCCTGAAAGCTGAGGCTTTCTACCTTTAAAATACCCTAGTAAAACACAAGTAAGCCTGCAGTCTCAGAATGAAGTGCTCTATTGGGATGATATGGTACTATCACATCATTAAGATAAGATGGGGCCTGATTATTTAAGACCCTGTATGTGAGGAGAAGGATTTTAAATTAAATTCTGGATTTAACAGGAAGCCAATGAAGGGAAGTGAGTATGAGAGAAATCTGCTCTCTCTTTCTAGTCCCTCTGAGTACTCTTGTTGCAGCATTTTGAATCAACTGAAGGCCTTTCAGGTAATTCTTGGCACAGTGTTAATGGAGGCCAAGGTAATGCCATCCAAATTAAGTATAAAATTAAAAGTCATCCAGCTCTTAGTGTCTTTAAGACATTTCTACAGTTTAACTTATTGGTGTCTGACATCTGGCTTCACAGACAGATAAAGCTAGGTATCGGTTGTATAGCAGTGAAAAAAAAAGCATGCTATGCCTTCTGAAATTAAGGGAAGCATGTATAATGTAAACAGAACTGGTCCTAGCACTGAACCCTGTGGAACTCCATAATTAATTTTAGCGTGTTAAGAAGACTCCCCATTTACATGAACAAATTGGAGTGTATTCGATAGATATGACTCAAACCGCTGCTGCGCAGTACCTGCAATACCTGCAGCTGGATCAAGTGATGGCTTTTTTAAAAGTAATGTTTTAAAACTACTGCCACCTGTGGTAAGTAGCCCAGTAATAGAGATAGATTAATGATTAATTAAGTCTGATTAACTAATGATAGGACATCTTTGAGGAGACTTATAGGAATGGGGTCTAATGAACACGTTGAAGGCTCTTTCACTGAATTTAACTCTGAGACAAAGAGTTGAAAGAGATATCAGTGGTACAGAAAGTAGCTATATATTGATTGTTTGTGAGTATTTCTTTCTAATGGTTAAAAGTCATTACAGGTCAAAATTAAAGGAATGTTTTGTTCAACAGAGCCTCTACTCTTTGTCAGCCTTGCTACGGTGCTGAAAAGACCCCCCCCGCCCCCCCCCCCCAGAAAAAAAAAAATTAAAATAAAAGAAAAGAAATAAATTTAGCTAAAATAAAAGCCATGTAAAACATAAATAAGCATGTTTAAGTGTAATAATAAATAATACTTACTCTTTACCTGGCACTGGTAAACAGATTTATTTGTTGACCATTAGAAATGGAACTGTAATCCTGACATTTATGTTTCCTAATTCTAATTCTAAACTTCCTGACAAACAGATCCAGTTATTTTTCATGTGGACCCTTTTGACACATTACATAAGGAATATCTCAGAGTTTCAGTTTAACTAAGAAGTGATTTTGCACTTTAAAAATTTGTTCATGTCACATTTTATAAAGAATACAGAAATAAGTAACAGAAATATGTCTTGTCTTCCAACCACTCGCATTTATTCTGCTGTCTCTGATCGACTCACACAGGTTGATAATTTCTTGGTCTGAACATCTGCTGCTGGTTTAGTCGGATCTTTGTGGCTTATGTCCTTAGATGATGTGATCCCTGAGAGACTGCATACATAAACCTAAAAAGAAAAGGACAATTTCAGAGTTGTTCTTCTTCTAATGACCAGCAGAGGGAGGAAAAACACATAAACACTACACAGCCACATGCTGGCCTCCACACTGATGGAAGTGTTAGGCCTGTATGGTTATCATGAGGATTAAGAGCTACAGTCAGGAATGAACAATGTTTGTCAGAAGTGCCCATGATGATGTGTACTATTTACCCTTCCTTCATAGATCATACAGCAAAACACTGCAGTATGGTCACAGGATGTGCTCTGGGTCAGGTGTCGTGAGAACTGGGCTCTTGGTTTAGACGAGACAGAGCTGTCCTGGGGCCGCCAACTTCCCAAGGGAAATGCAAGTATGTATCTCAGTAGACCACAGACTCGAGATGGCTATTATGAGACCTGATGGCTACCATTTAAAACGCATATTCAAGTTATTTATGTATACATGTTTAAACACAGACCACATACCCATATAGACATCTATATCAACCGGTGAATTTATAAAGCAACAAAATTTCAAAATTCCAATTCCAAATTTAAAACTGAAAAAAAAAGAAGAATTTTGCTCTATAATTTGTCATTTATAAGCCACGACCGGCAAAATAATGAATCTTACATGATGGCCACGGTAAAAACGCCCATGTGTGAAAAATATTTCCTTTCACACTGAAAGATTTCCCTTCTCGGCTTCATGACATTTTGAATGTTTGGATTTGGATGGCTTGCTGGCCTTATTTATATAGAAAGCAAAATGATTGACACAATGGAAAAACTCACTGCAAACAAATCTAGCAAAATAAAAATATTTCTCATTTAACTGTGAGTCATGGTGTACAGTGGTGAGCACTGTTTACTTGCAAAAAGAAAGCTCCTGGTTAAAACCCTGACCCCATTTGTGCATAGCTTGTCCCCCCACAGTTCAAAGATAAGCACTTTAGGTTAATTTGTGTGGTTTAAAAGTGGCTGATAAGAGCTAGATGAAGTGTACTGAGTGAAGTGTTGTGTGGTGAAAATCTAAAGCTTTTATATGGTCAGTAAGAAAAGTGCTCTATAAATGCAAGTACATTGCCCTGTAGTTTTGTTTTTTAGTCTCGGAACAAGACTATGTGCAGTACATGTTGGTAAACATAAGAATGCATTCCACTGCAGACAAAGGAGTAGAGCACCACTGCAGGTCAGAACTGCTTGCCAATCAACATGGAAGATATGACCACTGTGTCCTGAGCAGGTGACTGACCTCAAGGCCAAAACAGCTCTTTTTATAGCCCCCTTTGTCAGATCTGAAGCCATATCACTTACATCATGTACTGTAAGACAAGGTTTAATAGCCAACTTTTAGATCACTCTGGTGCGATAAACTCTGGTGACCCGTGCAAGCCTTTGCTCAGAGGTCCCAAGTGGCTTTGGAGGAAACCAGCTGGGCTGGAGCTCAGCATGGTATTGCAGCCAGCAGTGAGATTCTCCACAAGAATCACTGCGTGTGAGTCAAATTCCTGTATGGCAAGGGGTTGATTTGATGTTCTGCCTATTTAGGATCCTTGAGGGATCCCGTGGGAAATGATGACACTCCTAGTTCTTCTACTCTCAAGTTCAAGGAAAAACTACTTCTTTACGGTACTGGAACTCGGGACCAATTTCTAACAATGATGTCATCTTCAAAACAAGAGGTGAGCAAAATGCATCTGCTTATATTTGTTGAACTTTTACTGACTTCACCTCCACACCTGTCTTGCTTGCTTAAACTGTCACGAGGCATGTAAGATAATCAGAGAGAAAAGAGGGGAAATGTGAGTGTGAAAGTGGAGTCGTTGGAGGAGGATGGCCTGTGTCTTATCTGGAGGTCACACCAAAGGTCAAATGAAAGATAATCCTGTTGCTTCCATACTGGGAGAGAGGGTTTACAGTAGCCTTTGTTCGCATGAGAAGTGCTGACTATTTTATCCAAGGAGACAGCTGGATGATGAATGTATTACATAGTCACTGTCTGGATTAACTGATGGTTTCAACAGCTACATTAGTCAGTACTGTGGTGATAAAGAATACAGAATTCTTTAAGCTGTTAACATCCACATTCCCAGAGACCTGTTTGTTATTTGCAGGGGGTCAGTGTTATTATATAGCACACCAAAAACGGAGATCTCATAGCACTAGAAGAGAGTTGTTGCATTATTTGACTAAAAAGGTTTCTCCCTGT